CAGCTGAAATCACTGACATCAAGATGCGAAGACAGTTTCATATCTGCCTTTCCAACTTTCCTTAGCTAGCTAGCTAGATAACATTAACAGAATCAATACGCCTGAGGTCATATACCAATTATTATTATTTCTTTTTTTTACACACCAGCATCTTGAATTCAAAATGGCCACTAGCCCGGGGCTCCTCATTCGCCTCCCCTGTGAGACAATTTTTTGGTCTAGTCGACTGGTTAAGTATGACACATGGCAGAATGCAAGTGAAATGCTTTCAATGAGAGCTTGATAGGCGGCAGCCGAGGTGCGCTCACAGGATCAGAACGGCAACAAGCTGACCTTGAGAAGCATATTGTGAATGTGAAATCTGTGAATGTGTTTCAAAGTGAGGGAAAACTGAATTTCTCAAACATAAACAAACTCTTTCTTTCAACTCTTGGAAAAACAGCAGCTACCTGGCAGCTACTAACTGGCAGCAGCTACTGTTGTGGCAGCTCTCTGGTGCCCATAATTGATGGTGCACTCCTGACTGAAGGAAGGGAGGAAGAAGTTGTCCGTGATCATGGAGGTGGAGGAGAGGTGAGGTTCTTTGAGTTTATGTCACACTGAGGGTGTGGAGAAGTCGGTGTTGGTTGAGAGTTGCTGTGTGGCCTGTGTCTGCTTAGCTAGTGTCTAGGGAGAGAGAGAGAGAGATTTGAGAGGTTCCCACTCAAAAATAGGGCACCAGCATCTTTTTTGCTGATGAACTCAAATCTGTGTCAGATGTGTTTTTTTCTCCCACGTCACCTGCTGCCCACGTGCCTGTGTTTCGGCCCGTCTGAGGTGCTGAATCCATGCGGTGTAAAAAGCACAGTGATGCTGATTGGTACACCGAAGGCTTGTCTTCACACAAGCTAAAATCAGTTATTCATGCTTGCAGCAACAAGTTGCTCCTCTGATAATGCAATTAAAAATTAAATGGAGTATGTTAATAAACAAAACACAAGGATTTTCCGAAGTTTTGTAAAAACTGTAAAAAAAAAAATAAAAAAAATACTTTGGTTTGATCTAAATGAGTTAGCTCAGGATCACTCCCACGAGACACCATAAGACATTCTAGCAGGACTAAGGACCTCCTTTAATATACATATGTGGACACATTTAGACATGCTGTGACTCACTCCTGTGCTCTTAGACATTGGCTCTCATTCTCTCTCTTTCATATACCAGCCTGGTCTCATGTTTATACGTAGGTATTAATACGTAACATTTACAAGCACAAACAAAGCATTTATTAATGCTAAAACGTACAGTTTAGACGTATTTCAACGTTTAAAACGTACAAATCGCTACGTATTTTTAGCTAAAAAACGTAAAAATATTTACGTATCTTTTATATAATTAAGATATTAGTATCACTGCATTTTTATCATTTTATCAATAAGCGATTTAGGTTTTTAGACCCCTTAACCTACGATTTAGGTTCCCTTAACCTACCTCCAAACCTAAACCTACCCATTTTACAGCGAATATGCATTTTTATAATTTATAATATACGCAATTTAGATTTTTAGACCCCTTAACCTACCCCCAAACCTTAACCTACCCATTTTATAGCGAATATAAAAGGATATAAAACGCAAATGACAAAAAATGACAGACATGACAGAGCAATTACAATCATTTATTTATTGCAAAAATGTCAAAAGCAGCACCAAATGTAATCCAAATAATCCAAATTTGCACCCGCAGTCCTCTCTGGCGGAATACAGTAGGTTTGTGTGATCCAGAGCAGAATTTATGTTGTTAATCGCTGAAAATATTATCCAGATAATTTTCCCGCTCCACTCCGTGAACTCGTGAAGGCTCGCTGGCATCATTCAAACACACCTCACCAGAAACACGGCTTGTCGCAATCTGTGACGAATGCAGGCGAGAGCCAATGAGCGTTCGATTATCCTGCCGTAAAACCTGTCGTTTGAAGCGGCAACATTTGAATTTGTAAAGAGCGTGTCAGTCAGCACAGGATTTGCTCGCTGTTTACAGTCACTGGACTCACTGCTTGGGATGGAGATGAAGATTGCAGAATAAAGGCTTGGATTTGGGTCTGTTCCTCGCAGGCGTACGGATTCGGAAGATTTGGATTACAGCGCACGAATAAAATTGTTTCATTTCGTAATTATGTTGCGTTTTTGGTGTATTTTATAGTTATATTGTTAGTCACAGCATGTTGAGAAAAAACACCTTTTGTGGCCCATGGCAATCAAAGTAAACATTATATGACAAGTAAAGGTTAAACGATTGCAGAAATTGTATTTATTTTAAGGTTTAAAGTGAAGTGTTTAACGTTATGTAGGCATATTCTTGGAAACGAGCTGGCAGCAGAAATCACAACAAAACGAAATCATATATCATTTCATAAGTAAACAATTTAATAATGCAATTGAAAACAAGCTAATTCATATGACAACTAAAAACTAATAAAAGTAATGCCGCGATTTCAATATTCATAAGGATTCATTTTTAGATGTCTTCAATACGTCAATTTTGTACGTTTAGATGCTGAAAATACGTAAGTAGTGTACGTTTTAGTGCCTGTAAAAACGTAAGTAAATGTACGTTTTATAGAACCACATGTTACGTAAAATACATACGAATTATCATGAGATCACGTTGCAGCCATATACGCACACTTTTATACACATAATTGGCTTCCTTACGTTGGGTCGGTAATGCAGATTGAGTTTGCTGAGGTATTGATGCATGAATCACGCACACACACACATGGCACATTCGCCATCATAGCGGACGTGCTGGACCGTGAATGATTCGAATAATTAAAAATTTCATCCTGAGAGCCTCAGATCATCCCGTTACACACACATGTGCGGAAATGCACACACAGACACACACCTGTTTCTTCGGTGTGCAAGAGTATGCATTGCATATCTTTCAGAGGTCAAGCAGCTAAAGCTGAATGAGATCTTTCATTATCCTCTACATGCTATTCTATCATATTCTATTCTATTCTATTCCTCCTTATCTGTCAAAGCTATGTTCAGACATACTTTTTTTTTACTAACAGGTGTGACTCAGATTATCTTATACATACAGCAGCAGACAGATATCTATATAAACAGGTAAACAATATCATTTCCCTTTTTGAATCTGATAGCCTTGAATGCTATTACACAACAGGTAGCAATGTTTAAATAGCAGTACTTTGTTTTGTGCTTTTAAGCATTTAATGTTTATTTTAGGGATGCCCTGAAATTACAATTCTGGCTGATAACTGATAAACTGATAATAATTTTCATTATTTCCATTAGTTTTTCTTTAATGCTTTAAGTGAATTTAGGCACATTATAATGTAAGTTTTGAAAAAAAAAAAAAACATTTTGAGATGTACTAAAGATTAATTTTTTTTTATTTTTAAAAATTAAATGCTATTAAAAATTAACTTTCAGTGTTAGATGATGGCCAAGGTAATCTTAATATAATAACAAGGGAAATGAGCATGCACAATTAAAACATTTATATAGGCTAATACATACAGTGCCTTTCAATTCAATTCAAGTTTGTTTGTATAGTGCTTTTCACGATGCAAATCGTTGCAAAGCAGCTTTACAGAAAATTTAAGTTTCTACATTATATTTAGCGTATCAGTGGTGATGTCCATGTGGCAGAAATGTACGGTAAAAATCAAGCAGTTAGTTAATGTCATGTAATTAAACAGACAGTGAACACTAACAGCAATGATTATATGTTGCGATCAAACTTGGTAGTTCTTGGTAGTTCAAAATTTGGTAGTTCTTGAGCACCAAATCAGCATATTAAAATAATTTCTGTAGCATCATGTGGCATTTAAGACTAGAGTAATGGCTAAAAATTCAGCTTTGCCATCACAGGAATAAATTACATTTTAAAATATATTCAAATAGAATTGATATTTTAAATCGTAGTAGTAATATGCCACAATATGTTTTACTTTATTTTCGATGCAGCCTTGGTAAACATAAAGAACCTTCTTTCAAAAACATAAAAAAATCTTACTGATCCTAAACTTTCAAAAAGTAGTAAATAAATTTATGGTGTATGGATATTTTACATATAAAATATAATAATATATAATATTCCTGGTTTATGCTGTTTTTTTTAGAGACATTGATAGTCCTAGTATTTGTAAATTACAGCACAGAATAACTTGTGAAACATCATGTCGTACATGTCATAAATGTTCATAAATCATTCATAGTCCTGAAATTTTAAGAGAGTCACTTTGGTTGTAGAATTCAGAATCTCTTTCATGGCAATGTGTGAATGCCATATTTAGCACTCCAAACAGGACTGACAACAGTAGGCTGCTGCTAACTGTATGGATGTATGTTGTCTACAGCTGTTTAATATATGTATTCAGCAGTATATTCATATGTATACCCGTTTTTCTTATCTGAGTCTAACGAACAACAGCGCACAGCTCTGTACTAACATTCAATTTCAGAACCAGTGCCACGTCCGAGGTCACAGATGATTGGCACATCGGATTCATATGCAGACAGACAACAATATTGTGATTGGAGTGATTACCAGCAATGGATATCCTTGAACAAGTGTGTTTGTATAAATGAACTCCCAGTCTTCTAGTTTAGGTAGCAAAAGATACTATACATATTTAATATTTGCAATTAGTATTGCATAGCTACAGCATTACTAGGACTACATGCTCACAATAGGCTGTGTGTGAGTACCCATCCTCCCCATGGGGTATAACATATGATACTCCCTGACTTAAAATTCAGGGCACACGCACACATTGTGGCTTCTAATAAATGTTTTTGGGGAGTTAAATGTATTTAGAAATAAATGGCGCTGTTTAATATATGTATACAGCAGTATATTCATATGTATACCCGTTTTTCTTATCTGAGTCTAACGAACAACAGCGCACAGCTCTATACTAACATTCAATTTCAGAACCAGTGCCACGTCCGAGGTCACAGATGATTGGCACATCGGATTCATATGCAGACAGACAACAATATTGTGATTGGAGTGATTACCAGCAATGGATATCCTTGAACAAGTGTGTTTGTATAAATGAACTCCCAGTCTTCTAGTTTAGGTAGCAAAAGATACTATACATATTTAATATTTGCAATTAGTATTGCATAGCTACAGCATTACTAGGACTACATGCTCACAATAGGCTGTGTGTGAGTACCCATCCTCCCCATGGGGTATAACATATGATACTCCCTGACTTAAAATTCAGGGCACACGCACACATTGTGGCTTCTAATAAATGTTTTTGGGGAGTTAAATGTATTTAGAAATAAATGGCTGACTACGCTCTCTCTTTCCTCCTTTCCTTTCATGTATATTTGAGGAGCACTAATGCATTTGTAGTGTCTTTCTGCTGCTGCTCATCACTTCTGAATTACAGCAAATGACAGACTATCTTTCTCTCAGAAATACATGTGCACACGTGTGCCATTTGCCGGCGAACAAACCGAGATTTAAATGATTTTTACATTGAGAGTTCTTCTAATCTTCAAGTCTAAACAAACAATTTACTCACACACACAGAAATGTATAAAGGAAGTATTTCTAGCCCCGTCTCTCTTTCAAACATGCACTGCTCGCCTTCTTTTCCGTCATGTGTATTTAATGCATATGGAACAATCTGGGGAGTTTATACGGGTTATTCTGTGGATAAGCTGAATTGGTCACGTACCAGAGTGGCTCCAGTGGAACGTTCCCTGAGCAGTCTTTTGGTTGGTTTGCTTTGAGTGAGATTCTCCTCATGTCTTTCTCCTGACAGCTGGAATCCTAACAGGGAATAACCACATCCCTAATCCTGTGCGAAGTGAGACCACGAAGCTATTTATGCTACACAGAACATCTTCAGCTATCGTGCTTGAAGTCACCATGAAATCTAAATGGATAATTCGTTTTTTTTTCCTGTTGCAGTGTTTAAGTGATTTATTCTTGCATATCTTAATTTTTATTTATGCATTTTTTATTTTTTTTAATCAAAAACATCAACTCCTCCTCCCCCTCGCAACGACAACTCTGATGATGTGTGCACCTGTGCGGGGGCGGGACAGTAATCCCTCCTTACAACCTGTCAATCACGTGAGATCGCAAACAACAACAATCCAATGATCCAAATTCCAATCAATACTCAATGGACAAAGTCAAGTCCTGTCCTACATATATTTCCTGTTCGAGAAGTCAGTTCACTTGGATGCACGTCACAGTAGGGAAGAAAATACGGTCACGTTTTCTGTTTCATGCCGACTTAAACCTCATGTTGTGTTCCAGTCATTTTGATCCGGAGAGGATTTTCTTTTTCCTGAAAATGCTAGTTAATTTCTATTGAATTTGGACTAAAACTTACTGAGTTTGCTCACATAATGTGAAATAACTTTCCCAAAATATTGGTAATTTTTTTTAGGATTTTTCCCCCCAACTTGTTACTCCCGGTCAAAAATGACATGCTTACAAATTATTTTTTAATTCTCTCATTATGCTGCTATGGTGTTACCAAATTTTGGATTCTGTCTTTTTATAAACTTATTTCTTTATTTTTCAAAAACTGAGGTGCATAAGCTCAGAGGGGAGGGGGGAGGGGGGGTGATAATATTGCAAAATGAGAGATTTACCAGCAACACCAAATTAAAGGATTTTAAGCACAGCAAAAGGGTAAAAAAAAAAAACGATTAGTCTATGCATTTGAACATGTTCTAACATCCCATTTCTGGAGACCATCTCACTCAGATGGATACTGCATTGCAGTACTGATTTTGCTATGATATGCAAATATGCATTTCAAAACTTTAATATGCTACAGTGTTGTCTGTCACTTGACTTCATTACAGTGCATATTTAATTGAGCATTCTTAAATTACACAAGTATGTCTATTTATTGAAAAGTTACGGAGTTCAGAATGTGCTGCATAACAGGAATGACCCTCTTAACCCTTGGCGGACAATAAAGTAATGTGACAAGTAGGACGTGGCTAATATTGCTTCCAGTTAATTTGTTACAGATGAAATGGAAAGTAAACACATTGGCTTCATTCACTAACAATGCATATGCAAGTATTTGTGCTGCCACACAGTTGTCATGAAGTTTCAAAGTCAGAACCTTTACCAAAAAGTAATACTTTTATTTGTAACTTTTAAAAAATACTTTTATTTATCATTATTTCAGAGTACAAGTTATGTGCTTTGTCTTGGATATGTGATGGATATAAAAAGCAGCCTGTTCTGAATTTAGAGGTCCAAAACAGAATTTTGTATAGTCCAGCCGATATAAAATATATTTATTTTGTTTAACTGACTTTAACTGAGCGTGTGAGAGAGAAAGAGGTAAGGCTGTGTGAAAGCACTTATATGGAGATGGTTTAGGTGTGTTTTATGCAAATTCTCTCTGGTGGCATGCTCTCCCTCATTTAGAATAACCCAGATTCATCAACATGCAATGAGGGTAAGAACAAACCGATGTGTATAGGAACCTGTTGAAATTTGCATTAGCATATTTTTGTGCACATAAATACGCAAATTGAATGCAGATATTAGTAAATGAGGCTTGTTGCATTGTGGAATATAGTAAGTAGTCCATGCAGTATGTTCCATTGTATTCTGCACATTTTGGCAATAGTAGTATGTCATTCATTTAATTAAAACATTTGAAATATCTGAAAAAAAAATATTACAGTATACATGCTGCTTTGATCCTAGCATTTTGTGTTTGTTTCTTCATTACAAATGATTAAAAATAGCTTTTAACTGTATTTTTTGTCTTAAAAGAGCTTAAGTCTTCATTTGTCTTTATTTACTTAAAATGCAAATTGAACATATTTCAGTCTTCTTTACTGAAAAATTTAACAAAATTTAGTTTATGCCTAAAACAAGAACAAACATCTGTCAATGGGGTATGAAAACTTGTTTTCACTTTGAAATAAGTTGTTTTTCATGAGCCCATTGGCAGACATAATCAGTTTCTCATAAAACAAGACTTCTTGTTTATGTTTAGCTTCTCAAATAAATTATCTTTAGACATTTGCTTTGGAAAACAAGGCAACCATACTGAGGAAGAACATCACTTTTTTCATTGTGATCAGAAGGTACAGTAAAAGTTATTTCCATTTTCTAGTGATTAGGGGCTGACTTTTGAAACATTGCGAATACAAGATATTAACATTTAGAGACCATATTGAAGTATTGTGTTCCATTCAGTTTATTCGTTAAAGTTTCTATACTTGGTCTTAAGATATACTTCATGAGATTCAAAATTGCATAAGACTTATAAGGGAATCTAAGTTTCAGTTTCTTCAATATAACTGTTTTTTTTTTGTTCTTTTGTTCTATTGACAGTTTGTTTTGTTCTAGGCACAAAACTCATTTAGTGGAGTTAATGCATTATATTTTTTATCATGTATGATGACAAGACAAAATAGGATTTTTGCCATCTGTCTGTAATGCACAGAACAGTGTCTCATTATTACATGGACCTAGCTGTTTTCCTGATGTGTTTTTCTGTCTTTAGCTTGCGTCAGCTCTATTTAGTGGAAGGGATGCTTCCTCCAACATGCTGAGATGTTTTTGTCAGTGCTGTGGGCCACACTTTTTACTGTTACCCAGTGAATGCTGCCCCAGATCTCTGCAGTAATTACTTTGCAGTAGGTACTTCAGCTCACAATAAGAGCGTGAAAACTTAACAAGATGAAATCTTACAATAGAGGCATGGGAGAGATAACGAGATGGGGAAAAACCTGTCCAGATTCAGCATCAGATGTGAAACAGCCAAACAAAGAAGGTTTCCAGGATTTTTAGCTGTTTTTTCCCCTCATGTTTGGGGGTTTTGCGCCAGGTTTTGGCAAACAGATACAGTTGACTGTGAAAGAGCGGGAGATTGTTAAGATAAATAGTTGATGAATTCTGAAAATATTCATATGGGTGAAAAAGTGAGAGAGAAGAGATGGGAAATTTTCCTTTCTTGTTCCAAGACTTCCTTGGCTCTGTTTCACTGAGCCTCAATTAGCGAAAAAAGAGAGGGAGAGGAGGAGAGAGAAAATTGAGAAAGCCAGAGAGAAAATACAATGAAAATGTTAAGTTTTTTTTTTCATTAAGCTGTGCAGATGAACTGTACATCAGTTAAATATTTTTTTTTATATTATAAACTGTTTTCAGTTTAACATCTAACACCCATTTGAGCTGACGAGAGGCCCGTCTTGTCATATTTCATCTGGTGATGGGCTTTTAGTGTAGTCCACAGTTTCTCTTTTTTTTCATCCGCCATATGCAGCTGAAACTCTCTGGCTTTTTCTGCTGTTTGCTCTCACTGTACTGTATACAATTTACAGGAAATATACCTGAACTGCAATAAACCCTGTCTGACAATATCACGTTTACAAGTTGCGGGGAGGTAGAAAAGTAATATATTGCTGTCAGGAAACAGTAGTGTATTATGGTATTATTAGAATAAATTAGAGTATAAGGCACTGTTGTAATGCTTCAGCTAGAATCTGGACACAACTTTACATTTCATGAAGACAGAAACAATTAAAGCACTGCTCTGATGTGTGTTATTTCATACTTTTATATTGTACCTCTTCTCTTTCACCTTTTTCCTCCTACTTCCTCTTTTTTCTTGTCATTGACTTCCTCTTCTTGTTTATCTTTCTATTCTTTGATTTTTAGCAACTTTTCTCAACCTTCCTCTTCTAGCTCTTTCTCTGGTCTTTTATCTCATATTCTCATGCTTTTCTCATACTACTTTCTTGTCAGCTTCCTCCTCTTTTTTTTCTCTTTAAATGTTCTCATTTGGTCTTCTTTCTTTCTCTTTTGATTTTCTCATCTTGTCTCATCTGTTTTCCCTCTTCATTTTATTTCATGTCATGTCATCTTACCTCTTGCTTTCCCTTCCCTTCTCTCTTCTCATCTGGTCTGACCTCTTGATCTTGTCTTTTCTCTTTGATATCTTGTCTCTTTTCTCCTTCTCTCATATCTTCTCTGCCTCGTCTTGTTTCTTTCTGTTTCTCATCGTCTTGTCTCATCTCTCCTCTTTATTTCTACACTCCTGTCTCGTATCTCTCCATCTGAAGTCATGCGGCCACTGGAGTGTCTTTCCCACAGAGCACAGTGGTCAATGTCAACCAATACATGATCAATAAGGACCTGTAGCTCTCTGTTTATGCTTTCTCTCCCATTTGCGTGCGCACACACACAATCCTGCATTTGGTGTGTGTTTACAGCTGAGGTATGTGTTTACAGTGCGTGTCTGCTTCCCTGAATGTTGAATATGGATATTTATTTTAGTTAAACTCTTAAGATCTGACCTTTCCTTCCTTTCTTTCCTGCTCTCTTTCTCTCTCACTCACTCTCAGGGAGTGTCCATTTACATATGCCCTAATTCTGAAGAGAGAAAAAAAAGAAATTTAATGATGTTCAATGTTCATTTATCTCTCTAGGGCTGTAAAGAGAGAGAGAAAGAGAGAGAGAGAAGCTTTGGCATTAATTAATGATGGTATTATTGCAAATGGGTTCCAGGGTACCAGCATCATTGCAACACTTAAAACATAATAGTAATTTTTTTTTAAAGAGTGGTTTGTGCTTTAAAAACATGCACACTTTATAGACATAGATTTTTCTACATAAACAAAAGAGACCGTTTTAATATAAACAAACAATGTTGCACAGCAGTCTGCGAGGAATTATAACAACACCCAATGGTTTGTCGTAAATCTGTGCAGTATGACGGCGGCAGTGGCTTATTTATTTCTGTGTCAGGTTTTGGAGCAGCTGTGCCGGCTGCAGGTGGAAATGCAGAATTTCGGTCCTCTAAAAGCACAAGGCATGATCTCTGCTCACAAACGCTGGATGACTGCATCCATACCCTCCAAAACGACATTCAGCACCCTCAGCACTCAACCTAACCATAGTTTGCAGATTTGAAATGCTCAAAAGGATGTGGACAGGCTCACCTGTTTCTCTGGCATTTTAGAGATGAGGATGTACTTCACTTAATAGTTACAGTGTGGCTCACAGGAAAAGTGATTATGGTATTCACTCTAGAACAGCTCTCTATAATTCAATAAAACTGAACTGAATAAAACGGAACTTCAAAGAGTAGGCAAGAGAGAGAAAGAATGATTTTTGCTTAGAGGAAGTTTTAATGGGTTTGCATGTTATGTTCTAAGAGTCGTACTGTCACTTTTGGCTCCATTAAAAACATTTTCTCTTCATAAAGAATCAAATGATGAAGAGAGGAACAGCAGGAGAGAATTTAGGAGATTTTTTTTTTCTTCTAATTTTGCTTCCCTCTCTCTCTCTCTTTCAGACACAGTCACAACACCTGCTATCAAAAATGACACACACACACACACGCACGCACGCACGCACGCGCATGCACAAACAGACAAAGATTGGCATTCTTTCTCCATCCAGCTGCCGGGACATTGCCGCCTCTTAGATTTTCCTCATTGTTGTAAACACATTAATTAAACACATTAATTGTTTAGGAAATAAATGGCCATTAAAAATGAACTTTGTTATCGTTCCACCTTGCTGAGTGTCCACGGAGTGACTCTCTCTTTTCACTGATGGAGCGCACGCTGGGAGTGGGTGTGTAAGAGCTTTCTACCTGCTGGGTGCTGGGATTTTCAACTCTTTTGTTCCCCTTTTGGCCTGTACTTTTTCATAATTGACTTTCCGTGACAATTTGGTTCATTTGGTGAGTGGTGCAGCATTTGAGTGTGGCGTCAGAACATATTGTGAGAATGACACATTTTTTCTCTGTTACTGTTGGCGTAGGATGGCGGTTTGGTTTTTGACAACTTACTATGGTCAAATACTACATTATTGAGGTTTTTATGAATTCTATTAATATTATTATTTATACAAATACTATTATTTTATTTTATAATTTTTGTTTAATATCATTTTTTTTCTTTGAGGTGCAGAAATGGGCAATTATCACTAAATGTGTAACACAATAATGATTTTCTTTTTCGTTACCTAATGGAAATGTATACACATGCACAATTTGCAGCTGTGATGCAACTTTATTGATTGATTTATTTGTATTTATTTATTTTTGAAGATTATTGGGTAAGCACACCTTTATAGCTTCACTGAGTGATACCCAATTAAGATTAGTATGCAATAGACCAGTTAGAACAAACACAGGTTTACATGTTTTATAAACCACTCAATCTTTCTATGGTCTGAATTCATTTTTTAACTAATGAACTATGTTTTTATAGTTTGTGCTGTCAGTGCAAAGTAATCAACAAATAAGAATTTATGCTGCTATTGTTCCCTTTATCTAGATCCTTTCAAAACTTTTGGAGGACACTGCATATGCAAATGCACTCTTCATATGTCAAATGACCAAGAGTGCTTTGTTGCACTCACACCATGAGTCATGGCTGGTTAGCTTCAGTAATTAACCCTTGCTGGTAGATGCTCTAACTGTGCATGTTTTTTTCAGTTGGTGGCCATTCAAATATAACCTGACAAAATATTTTTTTTTACTACAGCATAGAAACCACCTACATTTCATTATATTGTATTAGATGTTTCAGCATTTAGCCTAAAAAATAATCTACACATGTACATGAACATAGACATTTCTTCTACACAAGCGTGATTTTGTACGTTGTTTCATTCAGAAATGCATTAGACCTCAGTTTATAGTGCAGTGCAAGTACAAGTCACAAAAAAACAGGTTATTAGCGTAAATGTCGTCTTTTGCGGTCTGTTTTCACTTTCAGGTGAACTACTGTCATAGTAGCGCAACATTTTGAAGGGAATTTTCCTGACCAAGTTAGTTAAAGTTCATTTTGTTTAGCAGCTCACCAGTAGCATCTCCAGTTTAATGAGGTTTTTTACCGTCAGACCAATGCAAGAGCAGACGCTAAGGTCACCATGAAATCAATTTATTTTGTAATCATTTATTATAAACAATTTATCTATTATTATTTATTTGATTATTTTTATTTTATGTGCAAATCGCTGGGTAATAGAACTAGTTTCAATCCCTCCCCTCCAGCAATCTGATTTCTGATGGACAAAATCAAGTCTTGCTCTACATTTCTCTCATTCGATATGCTGTTTCTCTCAATATACATCAAAATAGAGAGAAAAGTCTTCACAAAGGTTTCATGCCGACTTTAAGTATGTTCACCCAAATTATTAATTGGCCAAGCACTCACATCTGCGTTCGTGTACTTTATAAAGGTTGATTTTGTAATGTTTCTGGCCTCCAGGTTTGGTACTTCATATAGTTTTCACAGGTATATTAAAGCTTCTCGTCTCGCACAGCCTGTGGGTTTCCTGTTGAGTCGAATAGAGTTTGCAGTGCAATGCCCAATCCTTAAATAACAGCCTCTGTGATAAGCCTGCTTTACAGTGCGTCAGGTTCACAAAACAATCTGTGCTGAAATGTGCTGCACAAACCACGGAAGAAAGGTTCTGGGTTAAATACAACTTAAGTTCTACATCTGTGGCACGCTGCCGATTACCACAGAAAATCATTTTGACTCATACCTCAGTGTGTAAAAACCAACAAAAATCACTAAATATTTAGCTCTTAGACATGTTCTGTATTTTTGGATAAAGATGTTTTATTTTTTTCCCCCCTCATTCCCTTTCTCAGAAGAAAAAGAGAAACCAGACGTGTCTTCTCACCATAAATATGCCCAAGCAAGCAGCTAACCAGAGTTTAGAGGACCGTTGGGAATGGGTGTCTGCGGTTACAATTAGGGCTGGGTTTTGACAAATTTCACGATTCGATTCACAAGCTTTCGATTCGATTACCAATTCGATTTGATTCGATTCAATATTGATTATTTTGGATATATATCAGGTACAGGACATGCCAAATTTTCTTAAGGAAAAATAATCTCTCAACTAATGCTGTAAAATATACATTATATTACTGAAGGTTAAAATTGACTAATTTGTGCTGTACAACTGCTTAAATTGCACTTAATGAAGTTTTTATAATAGTTAAGTTGCAATTACTTTAGTTAGTTTTTTTTTTAAATATACACATTTAAATAGTGGCTGTCATAAAAACTTGGATGGATTTATTCAAACATAAATAAAACATTAAAGAACAGTAAAAAAATGATAATGAATGTTATATGGTGCATATATTTAGCAAAGTGCCCTTCTCTACAGCTTATTTTTCTAACTTAGCTGACTAACGAGTTTATGGTCACCGAATATGCTTTCTGAGGTAAATGTGATGTTACATGAATTGTTTACACGCCGTTATATTGACGTCTTTGC